CACGAAAAACAAATCCAAGGAAAAAAACAGCATTTTGTGCGGTCGTTGGGGGCGTGTGATTCTGAATTGGCAACAAAATGTTCCGCAATTGTATCCTCCCTATTCGTACACGCCTGAAGATCGTAGGCGAATGACTGTGAATGTTTCTGTTCGATTGGTGATAAAATAATTGAAATTGGTCCAGGGGCAGCTATGTTATTAACGTTAAAAATCTTTCATAATTTCATTTTTCGCTTTTCATAAATTGTACCCCCATCTTCCCGAAAGACACAGTCCTACGTCAAAAACATCGGCCAGCCAGGAAATGGGCGAAGCCTTGGTTGACATCCCTCCAGCGGATCTAGCAGTTAACCTTTTCACGATCCACGTGCTTTGATTCGAGCAGAAGATCGTGGATTGAATCGCTGGCACCGTCTTATTATAGAAGCCGGGACATTACGTCGTTTGATTCGAAAACATGATTAACTTCTTCCGGGACATCCTTTTATTTGAATAGCTTCTTGTGGCCGGGCTTGATCGATCTTTGGTCACTTTGTTTTTTTGTGATGTAAAGGACTCGATGCCCTAGTGACGACCATTTTTGCTTACTGAAATCAATACCAGGCTCCGTCACGTTATGGAATTGCGAGGGTGGCTTCCATTTCGTATTATTATTATTATTATGTTTATTCTTCTTCTTATATGTTTGCATATTTTCATAAAATTGAATAGTTTCAATGTAAGAATGTTTTCAGAAAACATGTGATACATTACCCGAGCAAAGCCGGGTGACAAAAAGAAAGCAAATCGATATTAAAGTTTACAGTTCTTATCATAATGAAAACCCATTATGATTTCAATTTTCGCGACATAAGTCTTATGTTATATTGTGCTTTTATTATGCAGTCAAGACTTTTCAAACCCATTATTCCAAATGTTTCTTCGAGAGCGTGGTTCAAAGGTCTGGATGTAAGTCGGGGATTCATTCGAGTGATGTCAAGACTTATGTCCAACCACTACTCGCTAGACGCACATCTCTATAGAATAAACCTCGTTGACAGCAATATATGTAGGTGCAGAACCGGTTATGATGACATCGATCACGCAGTTTGGTATTGCCCGGGTAATGACGCCTCCAGAGCGCGACTATTGGATACCCTAGTGGCCCGAGGTAGACAACCCTTCCGTGAAGTAAGAGATGTATTGGGAACACGTGATCTTCCCTACATGCAAGCGATCTACGAATTCCTTTGTTTGTCTGATGTTAGAATTTGATGTGACTATCCCCTCCTTTCCAAACAATTTCCCGCCATTGTGTCCCAGTTTTATTATCCTCCTGTTCCTGTGCTACTTGCCCCTGCCCAGCCAGGATTTGGTCAACCGTCCGAGAGTAGTATCTGAAGGAGGCTTCAGAAACCAGTTTCCTACCTAGATCCTTCCAATTGAAATTGTTACCTATTAACCTCGAGCCCGCCACGAGTAATTGGTACCCAATACTAACCTAGAAATACTGCTTTTTAAAATGTAAATCAAACATTACTGATTTTGGCTCCGCAAAGTGTCACACACGACTGAGCCTAGTAAATAAACGAACTAGTTAAAAAAAAAGACTTTTCAAATGAAACCAACTTAACTTTAAGTTCTGCTGTTAACTGCATGTTTAAAATTAAATTTAAGTTCATCTGAACTAACGAATATTGTTTATTTGTCTTGTTTAACACATTTTAGGTCATTCGTGACTTGCCCGGGGTGAGATTTGAGCTCAAGTCTTTCACTGTGAGAAACATGGATGCTAACCATTTACCACAGGAGTGGAACTTCGGATCAGAAAGTGGCTCCACTTGTCATTTGCGAACACTAGCGAACCTAGCGGTAGAAGGCATCTTCTGCCTGCAGTTAAGATAGGCAGCATTCTATGATAGTGTGAGTGCACATAGAAAGCCCGTGTGGAACGCTACCACAACACATAGCTTGTTGAGCAGAAAAACGAACCATTTTTGATTCACCGATTTGTTTGCACTTCCCCTTCTGTTCTGTGCATTTACGCCAGGCCCGTATTCAGCTAAACATTATGAATGCAAAATCAGTAATCTTGATTTAATTGAAAGCAGGATTAGTTTTCCATTTGATTCAACAGTGTAAAATTTTGCTTTAATTTTTGCTGTGTTTCGTCAACCAAAATTATATCAACTGGAGTATTCAAAATAAGTTACATCATAGCAGCAAATTTTGATTTCAATTCGATCTCCAGCTTTGTTTTCAGAAAATTCAAAATTTTGTATAGCTAAAAACGAATATTGTGATGCCATAATCGAGGCAAACCAAATCGAGGAATACCAAAAATAAAGATTCTACTGTATTTATTACGCATGACGTCTCGTATCGTCCACCAAACCGAATTCTAACCTACTACCTATCCTCATCAAATCTTATTGTGATTCTCGTGGATGTTAAAGATTGTTTCATATAGGGTAACTGTACCAGTTTTTGGCCCAAGTTGTCCTCTAATTGGCCAAATCTTAAATTTCACATTTTTCAATTTACTACAAAATTTATGTCGATACAAGGTTAGAGCATGGATTAGGCTATATATTTACGCAAACTTAACTATTAAAAACTATTTCAAATTTGGTTTAGACCATAGGAGCCTTGCTCAATATGTTTCCAAATTATTGCTCAGACGTGGCTAGCGTCGAATCGTCTAATTATTCATTGGCCTTAATGGTTAGATTTTCCAAAAAAAAACAGCATCCAAATTTATCCACATCCGAATTCGGTGCCTCCTTTCTCCTTCTCTTTCCTTCACCAACACTCAAAGAACGAGTAATTACAAGAATCATTCGCACAATTTCCACCGGTGGTTCCCAAGGCTGATAATCAACTCCGATAATGACCATCGAAGGATAATGATCTGCCAAATGGAGGAGACAACTCAGAAAAAGCAGTCATCAGCCGGCGAGGCAAGTGCACTCGAAATTAACCTCTCCTTCTCAAACGACAAACGGTTCATCCGGTAAAAGCGAAGAAAAAGTCCAAATCGTCCATCCTTGTAATCTGATATCCTTGATTCTCTTGGGTTTGCCCCTTCAAATGGAACGAGAAAACTGGAACCAAGAAGAAACGGACGTCGAAGAATGTTCTCTTTTCATGTTTGATGGTGAATCTGAGAAATTTCTTTATCGTTCACTCTCTACGGAATCAGTTGGTCAGTTCGTGGTAAATATTTATCAGCGAGGTGAAACGTGAGAACATTCACCTTGAAATTATGGTCCCGTATGTTTCCACCATAATTGTTAAATTTGATTCCCGACGAGTTGGGCCAGATGTGATGATGATGCCTCCTACGATAGTATCCATTTCGCTTCGACGACATGGAGCTCTAGAATCAACAAAAACTTTGGCACCCTCCGTGTGTGCACCAATGCTATTATGATCGCTCGCATCAGCATCAGCGCCTGCTCTTGATGATCTCACGTTGATCTCATAGAGACGCCGGCGTGGCACGGAATTCGATCCGGTGTGCGAGAGTGCGTGTTTTTTGAATGTTTTCTCATCTGGTCCGCAATGGCAAAACAAACATCCTCTTGGAGTGTTCTGAAAAAATCGGCCTTGCCCTGGCAAAACTCGCATCCCGTCACGATTTCTAATCACTCTTCCTGCTGCTGATGAACAGAACTTTTCGAACAGATACCATAAATATTAGGATTCGCCTGCACCTGGCGGGGGGTCCGTTGATTGATTTTTTTTCATCGTCCAACGTTCCGCAGGCTGCATCTCGAAACTGGTTTTATGGCGTTGGCTGAAGGTATTAAATATTGTTTCCAATTGGCAATAAATAACCAATACCGCTGACCACTAGCGTGGTCGCTGCTTGCACCCATCGAAGCGATACGGAATGGAACGTTGCTATAATTAAAGAATTGCGATAATTAAGTAGACTTATGACCGTGCAGACAACGCAAAGAATGATAAATTTCCTCCCAAACCGCTAAACTATTGAATTTATGAAATTGAGCTCCTGCCTAACCACCTTCATGCGAAGACTTATTGAAATTTTAAACGAACGTCGAAACACAGCAACCATCGTCACTCTGCAGAACGTCAGTAATCGAAATAAATCCTCCTATCGTAGGAGCCGCGTGAGAGCGCGTTTCTGCGGCAACAGCTGGCGTGGAAGTTGCTTTCACTCTTAATAAACGACGCTTCCTGCGTACTACCATAACCATCGTCGTCATCGCCATCAGCGTTCAGTTCAATGTTTTCAATGTGATGTGAACGTGTCACAATTCATCCAACCACCACCCTCGTTCCACGCTGCTACGCGCCTAGTATCTGTCAACGACCGATGATGATGATTTAATCAAATTACCACTATACTGACTGCAGTGAATTCTAGACCGGCGTCGTCATCGTCGTCGTCATCGTCATCGTCGCCAGTAGAATAGTTCGGAGTTGGCTGCTGTAATAAGTTTAGTCTAGCCGAAAATATGCGTGTGACACAAATTTGACAACTTCATCGAACCAGCAGCGGCAGATGAAGTACGAAGTGGAAGTTAGTTTCTGCGTCTTCATCAAAGCAAATGGAAATGAATGGTTGTGTTTACATTTGGTTAGCGAGCGGCCGTAAACAACGACGGGAGATGAAGCACGATAAACGGGGGGGCAGTTCTTTGGTCCGGATGCCGAGTAATTCCGTGAGATTTATGAAGAAATATCGGTCGGTTCTAATTAGTGAGGATTAGCTCATTTCGGATTTCGGATTTCGGCGCTGTCAGTCGGATGAAATGTGAGAAGTTCAAGGGAAATTGGACGTGGGAGGCCGAAATTAGCTTGATCCTAGATTATGAATAAAGAAAATCTTGAGTATTACTGAAAACCGGGTGATCCAAGTAGGCGACTGCCCTTGCAGTCGTAGGTCGCCTACTTTGATCGCAGTAAACATTTAATCAACTTGATCGCAGAGCAAATGTTGAAACATAAGGGCATTTTCTAACGATTGTTTTATTATTCTTTATTTGCAGGTCCACCAGGCCCGCCTGGTCCTCCGGGAAAGAGAGGGAAGCGTGGCAAGAAAGGAGACTCAGGTGAACCAGGTGTGGAGGTAAGTATCGTTCTCAATTTTCACTTATTGCTGAAGTAATCATGAATTGGGAGGTTGTGAACTCTATGTGTATCAAAATTAAGCACTTCGTTCGAGCTGTTACAATGACGTTTACTACCATTCGGACTTCGAAATAACACAAGATTTTGAGATTGTTTCATCTACACCAGGAGAAAAATTGCCGAAATGTGTGGGTCTTATAAAAAAACTACAAGGTACAGGCCTATGGGGTTGTACGCAATGGTGATGTAGGACTACGTGGTCTTATATAATGAACGTTATTTGTTAACTTCGGCTTGTGTTTTGTATAGGAATAGGAATTTCAGCGGGGTTCTCTCTGTCCAATCTGAAAACTCTTGGCGGGCCTGATGACGTGTAGGCAACTGGATCACCAGGTTGGAAGGCCGCAGAATATCAGTGTCCACCCAGCTAAAGCTCCTCCCCTTATTAGTTTTTATCGTTAAACTCCTTCTCTCAACAAGTTGGTAAATCATAGCCTTTAGCAGAAAGAAACTAAATACTTTTTTCGGCGAATTTATGATCCTGTTTTACGTCATGGTTCTTTTCTATGTCTGTTCAGATATATTAGTACTTTTATTTATTTTCTTTACTGCGCTAAATCGCTAAATCAAACGAGTAGAAATAAGAAGGGATGGATCACATGACGCTCGAATAATTGAAAATTCGATAAATATTTAATTGAATAGCTTCGAATAACCTTTACGATTAAACGTTAATCGAATAATTGGACTTTTAGGCATCCCTAGAAAATAGTGCAATTTCATGGTTTTTGGTGGTCCTTGCAACCAGCAAGTGTAGCCTAAGAACCAAAAGCGGTGCGATACTTGCTATGACGACGACTGAATTAGGGGGTTAGAAGCAGGGGGTGAAGGTCAATTCTCTTCACCGATTTCCTTTTTTGATGACCATGGCTTCACTAACCTATGTCACATTAATTCTGCTATGCTGCATTCCAGAAAAACAAACGTATCAATGAATGTGTTTGTGGTCGAGTTATTAACGAAACATAAAGTCGATGAAGAGAATCAATCTAAATCACTTGCACCCCTGTTTCCAAGTTTGGTTACAAGATTACAACTCTGGAGAGCATTTTGTGTCTTTGTTGGGGGCGTGTGGTTCTGAATATGACGATGAGTATGCAAAATGTTGCGCAATTGCATCTTTACTATTCGCACACGTCCGAAGATCGGTGGCGAATGCCGCTTCGACTTGTTTCGTATACTAACGACTCTCTGATAACAGTGTTGGGGAAGCAGCAATGCTACGTCGACGTGTTTCGTCTATAAACGATTCTCTGATGACTGTGTTGGGGAAGTATTATATGCACGTACGTAATTGGTGGATTTGTTAGTTATTTCGATGCTTTTGGACAATGGTTGACATTTACCACTTTTTCAATAGTTTCATGTCGAAAATCACTAATCGAAAGCATTGCATCGATGCGTAGAAGCATTTCTGATCGATTGGTCCAGGATCTGCTTATTGACGTTGGTCCAGGATCTGCTGAGTTATTAACGTGCAAAATCTTTCATAATTTCGTTACATGTTCCATTTTTGGTTTTCACAAAGTGTACCCCCATATAGAAATCACAGACGTAGTCCTACGTCAAAAAAATGTTAGTCCAGTTTTGTGAAATCGCTGGTAGAAAGTCACACCAAAACTTCTTGAAAAAGTGGTCCATTGTTTCTGTGTTAAATGAACATAGGTACAGAACACAGTGATGGAAAAATTTGCAAAACCACTCGATATTCGTTTGACTCATTCGTTCGAAACCTTATTATCAGCCACAAAAAAAGTGCGCGAAAAACAGCTGCTTGAAAAAAAAGTAAGAGGTTGTATCCAAGACACGACCGTAGATTTGACGTAGGATTACGTTCTCGGTATCAATATTCGGCGACTGTGTTAGGGAAACCACTTTTTATCATCACGGAAACACCTCGTTTCTGATGGCATAATTACGCATTTTCGTGCACAAAACGTTTGGTAGGTACATTATCAAAGAGCTTTAGGGATGATGTGGCTGGCAGCAAGGCGAGCGAACGTTCAATGAAAATTAAGCTCGCTGGAACAAGAGACTAAAAAATAGTCATTCTTGTAGAAAAAAGTCTCGGGAATCGATTGGAGTGGGTTTTGGGCACGATAGGGTAAGTTGAGGATTTTCACAGTTTTGCCCTAAAATCTCCTATTTTGCATGATTTGAATGCTGTATCTCAAGATACCGATGATATAGACGGATGATTTCCTCGGCAAAGTTGATCAGGAGGTCAAGGACTGTTGGATGATGGACAGAACAATTCGGAATTCCTCCGAATCCAGATTCAAGGAATCAACCTCTGCAAAAATTGCTCAAACATGGACTTGGTAAGCAAGTTGGTCTCTTTAGTCCAATTCATAGAGCGTATTCTGCAGAACGAATCGGACTGGGGATTCGGGTTCCACCAAATATCCTCTCCTCTTTCGGATACTAACTCAGGCTCATAAAATGCTGTTCGTTTATAGTTGATTTTGAGGTGTATAAGATACTCACGGTTCTCCAAATTGTCCTTGAGTTCAGATCAAATTTTCATCCAGGTTCACTGATTCAAAACCCTTTGTATTAAACATCTCCAAACAGGGTTAAACATATCATGCACATTATTTACGTTTGAATTCGATATGTTTAAGACGTTCTAGGTTCACCAAATTGTCCTCAAAACTTGTTAATTAGGCTACCATCTCGCATTTTAGTTTGATTACATTCATAGATCAGGGGACCTCCATAAGCTTGGTCGGTAGAGCCTGCGACTATAAAGCAAACCATGCTGGAGGTGGCTGGGTTCGATTCCCGGTTGGTCTAGGATTTCAGATTTGAAAATTTCTCGACTTCCCTGGGCATAGTATATTATTGTACTTGCCACACAATATACACATGCAAAAATCGAACAGGCTTGGAAAGCTTTCAATTAACAACTGTGGAAGTGCATCTAGAGCACTAAGTTGAGAGCAGGCGTTAAGTTACAGTTGGGACGTAATAGCCAGAGAAGATCATAGATACCTCTAACTAGCGGAGGAATTCCGAATTGTTCAACTTTGCCGAAGAAATCATCCGTCTAAATAGTCAGGTTCTTGAGATACAGCAGCACAAACATATACACTTCGAATGCTCACTAGCGCCGCCTAACGGAAGAATTCCGAATGGTTCTGTCCATCATCCAACAGTCCTTGACCTCCTGATCAACTTTGCCGAGGAAATCATCCGTCTATATCATTGGTATCTTGAGATACAGCATTCAAATCATGCAAAATAGGAGATTTTAGGGAAAAACTGTGAAAAACCCCAACTTACCCTATCGTGCCCAAGATGAAACCCACTCCAATCGATTCCCAAAGAGCTACTGAATCCGATCAGTAGCGGTGAAGCTTCTTCCTCCTTCTTCGGTGAATCGAGGGCTCTTGAAGGCAGCCTTGCTAACTAGCTGCTTGCGAGGAGCCTTTCGTTGTGTACTGGAGAAAAATGTACAACGCCACGCGCCGAAAGCACTGCTGCTTCTGCTAAAGACATCCGACCGGACACCACCACACACGGTGATTGAATAAGCACCGTTCGGCGAGACCGGATGGAATTCGATTTTGAAATCTGTGTTTGGGAAAGCGCTTTTTGCAGGCAATCAGTGATAATTTTTAACCATTGCAAAAGTTGGACATTTGTGTAATTTTCAATAACGACCTATTGAAAATCGTTAAAGTGTTCATTTTAGCAGATTCGTAGAAGAATTTCCAATAGATTGGCTTGTTTAGAATTTAAATTCATCCGCTATTGACAGAGTTACAACCTGACCACTGTTCGTAACGCGTTTGATTTTGGTTTTTTTTTTAAATTGCACCCCCAATATGTTGGCGAAAGACGTAATCGTACGTCAAAAAACATTGCAAAATTACATAACAAAACAGAATCCAAAGAGTTAAAAATATGTTGAACATGTAAATCATCAGTATTTGGTTGGTTTTAAGCGGTTTTATTACGTAGACCTTCAGGATAGTGCAACCAATTTCAGGAAAATTACTGTAATGTTTTAGAAGTTCTGAGAAATTTAAGGAAATCCCGAAATAATCAGCCAAGTAGGAGCTTATTAGAGCATTTTCAAAAACTTAAGGGAAAGGGAAATCGAACGGTTTTATTTTGAAATTTAATGCGTGATTTCGTTGGTTTTGGACCACCGTAAGTCATATTTATGACACAGTCGTTACTAGTAATGAACCTTTTATTATGCATTGTAATCACAAGGAGCAAAAATGCATTATTTTCAAAACTCGCTCGATTTTGGCACGGTGCCAAAACACAGATTTGCCAAGAAGAAAGTCCGAAAAACTTGAAAGTCAGGAAAATCTTCGGATTTTAATGAAGTTCCGAGAACTCCAGGACTTTTTTCAATTCCAAGAACATCAGAAAAAATGCTGGAACCTTCAAGAATTCGATTTTCTGTAATTTCTAAGAATTTAATGGAAGCTTCGAAAACTTGAGGGTAGTCCCGAAATCTTCAAGAACGTCCAGAACTACGGGCAAGGTTTACGATCTTTCGAATAAGTTCCGATAGCTTGATTCAATTGATTTCAAGAATTTATTTTTTTAATTCAATGAAGATCAAAGAGCATAACAGAAGCTGCCAAAACTTAAATTTATTATCAATTGAATAATCCAAAAAATCCGTGCGTTTTGTTCACGAAAATGTGTAATTATGCCATCAGGAACGAGGTGTTTCCGTGATGATAAAAAGTGCACCGAGCACGTTATCCTACGTAGATTCTACGGACGTGTCTTCAATAAGTTGACTTCAAAGATCTTAAAGAGAGTTACGTAGTTTCGAGCAGTTTAACAGTGTCCGGATTTCAAGGATTTATGGTAATATACCGTATGCGTGATAATGGTTGCACCATGAAGCAATGCCAAATTAAAAAAATTCTCAAAAATTTCGTTTTGTAGTTTTTTATTTATTTATTC